AAAAAAACGCTAGCTTTTCATGATTTCCACATGACAACTCCATTGTATTTCGAAGCTGATTTAGCACTTAATTAGCCTCATTGTCAAAATGGCAAATCAGTAATTCAAGTCATGGAAGATTTGCCCTTAACGAGTTCATGATTTTTTGAAAGAAAAGTGGCATAGCTTTTTCTTCTAACTCTTAAATCTCTAATTTTTGAAAGACTAAAAGTAGATATGGAAAAAATGCTAATAAAAATTGTGAGATACAAGATAAAAATAAATTTGATTTTTTTAGTTCTGCAAAAGATAGACATTTAAACCTAGAAATCTAGATAGATTATATGATTCCGCTTATGGCAATTCAATACATAAATCTATCTGTAAACTCAGAAGAGCTATAGTTAGCTAAAGTTACTCTCCAAATGATGGCATGTGAAATTTAAGACACCCTTTCTCGTGTTTGTTTTGTAGATGATAGACCGGAAAGTGAATGTTCGGTAATTTATTCTGTACTTGATGAAATCTTTTAAATTATTTCGGATAAATGGATTCACATCTTGTCAAAAAGATGTTTTTTTTTTTAAACAATCAATCTTGCACAGTTTTTGCAGCCTTAAAGATTGCGAGAATTTGAGAATAAAGCAATGGAACATTCGACCCCCACCAAACAAACTACTCGGCTGACAATGCACTTCTTAACGTAACCTCAAACACTACTGCAGTACAACTTGCCATAATTTTTGCACTCAGCATAATAATTTTAACCTTAGTCCCTAAAGCGTTGTTTTCAACTAGTTAAAAAACCGCTGATTTTAGTTGTATCTTTCTTCCACACAGTGTTTCTTAGTAGCATAGCTAGACATACCTTCTCCAATTCCCTCTCCAACCATGGTCCAACTTGATTTGCTTTGTCAGCAAATACTGTGCGGAGACGTTCATTATCTAAACAAAAAATCATTAGACAAATGTTGATGTTCAGGCTTAGGTTCTTAGGTAAAAGTCTCACTTTGTTGCCTTCGCAGCTCGCTCTGCAGTTGCCCATCTCTTCTTGGGACCGCCTGTTGAACTTCTCCCCATTTGCGGCGAATGTCAGAAGCCGAGAGGTCAGTATAAGGATTGCGCAGAAGCTCGCGGTCAAGTCCATGAGCTTCCACAAGGCGTTCGATTTCCTTAAAGTATATAACTTGCTAACTGATGAGGATTTCCACTTATGTACCTGTTCAATTCCAGAAATACTGCCAAATTCTCTATCGG